AGCTCAGCCCACAGCGTGTGGTGCTGGGATTGAACCATAGTCCCTGCGCTTGCCGAAGTAGGCACTTTAGTTTGCTGAGCTATCTTACCAGCGCCTTTTTTTTTTCTTTTTTTTTTTTCTTTTCTTGGTCATTTTTAGCTCACAGTTTATTTTTTTTCTTTTCTTTTTTCTTTTTTTCCCCCCAATTTTCTTTTTTTGTAGTACCAGGGATTGAAATCAGGACCTTTTGCTTGCCAGGAAGGTACTTAAGCCTCTGAGCTATGTCCCTGACCCCTTTTCGGTCTTTTTTAGACAGGGTCTTGCTGTGTAGTTCAGGCTGGCCTTGAGCTCACTTTGTAACCTAGGCTGGCATCGAACTTGCAGCGATCTTCCTGCCTCAGACTCCTGAGTGCTGGGATGACAGACATGTGCCACCATGCCCCCCAGGGAAGGCTCACAGAGCCGTCTGAAGCCTTCTGGAATCCAGACAGATCCTGGAAGTACGCACCTTTGGGAAATGGCGATCGAACAAGTAAGTGTAGGATGTAAACTTTTCCAAGGGGCCTTTGCACGGAGCTATGTCCCCATACTACCCCTTTTGGACTCGGGTTCTCACTATGTAGTTTGGCAGGCCTTGAACTTGAGGTGATCCTCCTGCCTCAACCGCCCAAGTGCTGGAATTATAGTTGTGTGCCACCATGCCTGACTCCTTAGCAATTTTTAAAACCTGTTTTGTCACAGGGTCTTGCTAAGTCGCTAAATTGCCTAGGCGGAGCTTCCGATCCTCCTGCCCCAGCCTCCCAGAGTGCTAGCGTTAGAGTGCTACATCAGGCCTCATTTGGAATCCCGGTTTAAACCCTCACATTGGGCAGTTTAACAGTGTCGCTGAGGAAGAAGGATCACAAGTTCAAATCCAGCCTGGGCAACATAGAGACTTAGGGAGATCCTGTTTCAAAATATAAAAATATAGCCAGGAGTGGTGGTGCATGCCTGCAATCCCAGAACTAGAGAGGCTGAGGCAAGAAGATAACAGAGTTAGAGGCCAGCCTGAGCTACGTAGTGAGTTCAAGGTCACTGCGCGAGGCTTTGTCTCAAAAGAACCAATAAGTAAATGAATGAATGAATGAATGAATGAATGAATGAACAAATAAATAAATAAAAGCAAATGGGATATATATATATAGCTCAGTATGAAGGCCTTGGGTATTGTAGAAGGTGGAAATGGAGATAAGGAAGGAAAGGAGGTAGGGAGGAAGGGAGGGAAGGGAAGAGAAGGGAAGGTGGGAGAGAAGGAGTAAAGGAAGAAGAGTGATGGCAAAGATTTTAGAGCTTTTAAGAATCCACACCACCCGCTGCAGCGGGCAGGCCAGGGGATCACCCCCACTGAACTAGGAGGGTCAAGGCCACAAGGCTGTGCAAGACAGTTACCGCAGCGCCATCATGTGGCAGAGAGACAAACTGCACTCGCACCTAATCCCCCAGGCAGAGTTCTCAGAAGCGCCCGAGTGCTTGAGGGTCTGCAGCACAACAGCAGAACTGGGTACTGAACGGTCAAGGCTTTGCCTACCCAGAGCGGGACTGCACACTGCAGGGCTGGTTTCTGGGTGACTGTGTCCGCCCTGCAGGAGGCAGGCAGAGAGGTGTGTCACAGAGACAGCAAAGGAAGAGGAAACCGGCTCCGTACTCAGCAGGTGAGGCAGCAGGGTTCCAAGTTCCAGGCCACCCTTGCAATCTGTGGAGCTGTGTTTCAAAACAAACACAAGCAGGGTCTGTAGTTTGCTTGGGAAGGCCCTGGGTTCAATCCTTGCACATGCGTGCGTGCACACACACACACACACACACACACACAGTGACTTCAAACTACTTAAGAGTTTTATATCATTACAATATTAGTGTTTTTTGTTTTTTTTGTTTTTTTTCAGAACCAGGGATTGAACTCAGGCCCTTGCGCTTGCCAGAGAAGCACTGATTCTACTGAACCATCTCCCCAGCCCCTGATCTGACTTTCTGACTTACACTCAGGTTTGGGAGGAAGGGGAAGGCATCTGCCCAAATCTGAATCCAACCAACAAGGGTCTGTTTCCTGCTTTGTACCCTCCGTGGAGACCCCTCACCTCTTGGCATCTGCTTCTCCTTTCCTAGGCAGGAATGCTGTTACTTGGCTCTAGGCAGGGTCAGGGGTCTGAACAAAGTGCAGGCCCCTTCCCCCTTTCTGCCTGTTTTTTTTTTTTGGGGGGGGGTACTAGGGATCGAACTCAGGACCTAGTGCTTGCCAGGCAAGCACTCATTCCACTGAGCTATCTCCCCAGCCCCTGCTTTCTGTCTGTTGACCGTCTTGTTCCATTTCCGCAGGCCCGGGCACTACCTTCACACGTCACGGCCTCCCTGGAGGGATCGGCTACGGAACAGTGCTGGGCTTTGTGGTGGGAACCTGAACTGCAGCTTCCTTGGACCAGAGGACGGCGGGCTGTGCACGGCATCCAGCATGGGCGTCTGGCCCTCCTGCCCCTGGGCACAGGCGTCCCTGGCTGTCAGGCCTTTGGCATGGCCGGGATGCACCGCAGGCTCCCAGGGCCTCGGCCTTGGCCTGGAGCTCAGCCTCACTCTGTGTCACAGCCTCTGTGCACCATGCCGGCAGCGCTCTCTCACGGGTCCTGAGAGACGGGGCCTGCTCCTCTGCTGGCCAGAGTACAGTGTAAGAAAGGATCAAGGGCCGGCTGAAGTCATGGGTGAAGACCAGTGTAGGGGAAACTGTGAATGTGCCCCAGATGTCCCCATCTTTCCAGGGAGGTCCTGACCACAGACCGGGCACACTGAAGTCAGCAAAGGACAGGAGCCAAAGGTCAGGCTCTGGAGGAGAGGGCTGCTTGCTAAACGGAATCCACAAGTGGGCCATCCTGGTGCAATCCCAGCACTCAGGAGGCCAAGAGGCCGAGGCAGGAGGATCCTTGTGCATTCAAGGCCAGCCAGGGCTACCTGTGGAGACTGTCTCAAAAATTCAAAACCAATCAACCAAACTGGGCATAGTGGTACCTGCCTGCAATTCCAGCCCTTGAGAGGCTGAGGCAGGAGGATTGCTGAGTTCCAGGTTAGTCTGAACTGTGTGGTGAAATCCTGTCTCCAAAAACAAAAACCAATCCATCAATCAGAGTCCGTGCTAAGCCTACCCTGCCTGGGAAGCTCAGCCCTCCGCCATTCAACCTTGAGCTTCACGGTCCTAGCACAGGGCGGCCACGGGAGAGGAGCACAACCCAAGGGGCAGTCCGCTGCCATTTGGGAGTGCGGGCAGCCACGCAGTAAGCATGCATCTGGGGGTACTGGTGGCCTCAGGAAACGCCACCCCCAGGAACACCTCAGTTTGCCCTGAGCCAAGACCTGTTTGGAAATCTCCGGTGGTGTGGGTGCACCCGCAGGCAGGCGTGTGGATACGCACCTCCAGGCACTGGTGTGGGGGAGCCCAGGTCTCCTGGTGCGGGGGGGAGAAAGTGCCCCGTTGGGTTGGGCCCCTCGCCTCGTCAGCCAGGGAAGCTGAGGGCTGCAGCCACTCAGTCTACGTAGGCCTAGGGGACACAGAGAGACGCGGGGCAGAGACAGCGAGACAGGGCAGAGAGGGAGATGGAGGAGGAGCCAGGAGCAGGGGAAGGGACCCCAGTGCGTCCACGGACAAGTGAGAGGAGAAAAACAATCATAACACCATCAGAGATGGGAGCCCCTCTGCCTTGCCAGGTGGCAGTATGTGTGTGTGCGCATGTGTGCGTGTGTGTTTTGTTCTGCTTTTATGAGGCAGGGTTTTACTTTATAGTTCAAGTTGGCCTTGAACTCATGGGGATCCTCCTGCCTCAGCCTCCGGAGCTCTGGGATCACAGGTGTGGGCCACTTCACCCGGCAGGATGTAGGTTCTGAAGGTTGCTACCAGGTCTGTCACGTTTATGACCTCAGTACTTAATGTAGGCCAAGACGTCTGGTAAGCATTTTTCAAACAAAATATCAAGAAAAGGCAGGATTTTAAATTAGAAGGACAAAGACAGAAAATAGTGGATGGGGGGCCGGGGAGATAGCTCAGTAGAATAAGCACTTGCCTGGCAAGCACGAGGTCCTGAGTTCAATCCCCGGTTCCGCAAAAAAAAAAAAAAAAAAGAAAAGAAAAGAAAAGAAAATAGTGGATGGGCATTAGATTTATAAGTCATAAAAACAGCTGGAGATGGTGATACATGCCTGTAATCCCAGCGTTCCTGGAGGCTGAGGCAGGAGGATTGTAAATTTAAGCCTAACCTGGGCAATTTAACCAACTAAGCAAGACCCTGTCTTAAACTTTAAGAAAATGTTTAAAAAGGCCTGGGCCTGCAGGTGGGAGCCCTGGGTTCACTCAGTCCCCGGACTGGTGGTGGGCGAGTCTTAAGCTCTTTCTCAAAGTCCAGCTCTGCCAATACCCCGATGGCAGGACCTCGTGCAGGATCTTGAGCGGCCTGAGTTTACTGAGTTAAGTTGCTGCAACGACTGAGCAGGTGGGGACGGTCACCGGATGCCTGTGCGACTCCCAGCAGCCTTACTGTGGCACCACCATCACAGAGCGGACGGGACAGAGGCAAACTTGATGCAGACAGCCACGTCACAAAGACACGGCGCATGCCTTTGTGACTTCCTGCTCAGAAAGCCTCGCTTGGCGGGCGGACTGCCAAAGAAGAGTGGCAGCGGGATCATCCACAAGAGGGGACAACCGCGGCCAGCCTGGCTACTAGACCTAGAGCAACTGGTTACTCAGCAATAGCTGGCTGGTACAGCAAGTGCAGTGGTGTTTGTCCTGATTTATTTTTTCTGGAAATTAAACCCAGGGCCTTTGCACTGAGCTACCTCATTGGCCCTTTTTAATTTTAAAACAAAGTTTCTCTAAGTTGTCCAGGCTGGGGCCAAACTTGCCATCCTCCTGCCTCAGCCTCCTAGGGTGTTGGGATTAACACCAGCCCCAGCTTATTGATTTCCAAACGAGGGAGTTGACATGCAAAGGCAAATGAGAGAGGCAGTCATGGTCATCCAGGTTTTATTTTCAGGGTCTGGTAAACTGGAACTAGAGAAAGCTGCAAAAAGTGGTGTGCAGAGCACAGCAGGGCCACCAAGTGGCTGAGGGAAGCTCAGGAGCCTCAGGCCAGGGGGAGGGGACAAGTCCCCCCAGGGCAGCCAGCCACAGGACAGCCCTGCGTGCTGAGGCCTAAGTGTGCGGATCCCCGCCCCACTCTGGCTCTCAGGCCCTGGGATCATGGACCCGGCCCATGAAGACAGGGAACTTGTGCACCTGGTCCCAGAGCACAAATAAGAAAGGCTGCTGCACCTCGAAGACCAGCAGGTTCCGGGCCACGGAGAGGGCAGAGACGGCGGCTGCCTCCACGCCGGTCTCGGTGAGCTCCAGCACGATGTGGTGCTGCATCTCCGACACCTGCAGGTCCTGGTCCTCCGTCAGCCCGCACAGGTTGAGGTCGTAGGTGAAGTCGAAGAATTCTAGGGCAGAGCAGGAAGCGATCGGAGTCAGACAGCACAAGGCCCCCACGGACGAGGCCCCCATGGACGAGGCCCCCACGGACGGAGACTTTTGCCTTGTACTGTCTGGGTTTCTCCCACCTCCCACGTCCCTCTTCCTCCCACCTAGCTTCACAGGCTGCACACTGGCCTTCTGCCATTTATTTGGAACTGGGGATTGAACTCAGGCCCTTGCACTTGCCAGGGAAGCACTTATTCTACTAGCCATCTCCCCAGCCCCACTTCTGTTCTTTTGAGACAGGATCTGGCTATGCAGTTCATGTTGGCCTTGAACTCACAGAGACCTTCCTGCCTTAGCCTCCCGCATGCTGGGAGCACAGGTGATAACCACCATGCCTGGCTTAGCCTTTTTCCATTTGTGGGTCTCCTGAATCGGAACCATCACTGCTCTCAGGAGCTGAGAATCCTCCTGCCCCCTCCCCCATCCCTGCAACCCCACCCCCAGCCCTGAATCATGATGTCATGATGTCAAGACTTCCTGGTGTCCAGCAATGGAGGGGGAGAAGTCACCTCTCAGAGCCTGGTCGCCCGCTGTATAACGAAGCCACGTACAGGGTGAGGTGCTGTGAAGACTGTGAGATACCAGCACTAGTCTCTGCCCACAGTTCCTGACCCGGAGCTTCAGAAAGGCACGCGACTCCTTAGCAAAAGGGGCTGCAAACACACCTTTGACTCTAGGACTGGGTCTTGGCCCTGCTAAGGGACTCTTGGGTCCCTTGCGGGGGCAGGCGGCAGGGCTGCCTTTATCTTTTCCTCCAGCAAGGTTCCTGGGTAGGGTCTGAGAGCCTGGAGGATGAGGTGGTGATTGGAAGTCCTACTTCTACCTTTGGGGACAGTGAAAAAGCCTCTTAGAAGCCTCCGTACAGATCCCCAGGGTGCAGGACCCGGAGGGCTCCCCCATGCCTGGGCACTTCGAGACGGAGGCCCTGTGCTTGCTGGGTGCGCGCTGCCGCCCTGCCCACCTCCTCCCTGCCTGGCTAGCTATCACCACCCACTGTGTTGTAGGAGGAGTGATAAAGAAACCAGTGAGTGTTTCCATTTGAAAACAAACGAAAAAAAAAAGAGGGCTGGGGAGATAGCTCAGCAGCACAGTGCCTGCCTGGCAAGCACAAGGTCTTGAGTTCGATTCCTAGTACAAAAAAAAAAGCTTACAGCAACATGCGCACTGCCAGAGTGCCCTTCCCTCCGAGCACACCCCCTCCCACCGTCCTGGCCACTGTCCACGGCGGCTCCGGAGTCCTCCTTCCCGAGTGTCTTGGGTAGCACTGCTGTGGCCGCCTCGACCTCCTGAGTCGATCCAAAGCATTTCTCTCATGGTCATTTGACTCTGGCGAGGAGCCGGGAGTCACATGGTGCCGAGGCTAAGGACACAGGGCCCTGCGTTTAGGAGCTGCCTTTCCGCTGGATGGTGCTTGGTGGGAGCATTTGCGAAGTCTTGGTCACGTGAGCCTCATGAAGCCACTCAGGGAAGAGGACTCCAGAGCTGCTGCAGAAAGAGGCAAGAAGGAGAGGGCGCGTGCTTCGAATCGCAGGGTGATTCTAAGGAGGACTGGCGGCCATGGTGCTTTACTGTCATGCACTTAAAGTGCGCCGTACACTTGCACCGCTCCTTGTGTGCCACAGAGGTGCTTGCCCCGGGTTCTGCCAGCCGTTCCCTGTGGCCTGACTCTGGGAAGCCCCACTGGAAGCTCCGATTGCAGCCACTCCCTGCCTGATGTCTGCGGGGCTCCGGCCTGTGGCCGAGCCTCCTGCTCCAGGTCTGACGTCGTCTCAGGCAGACTGGGTCAGAATCCACTGTTCTGAGAGAAAGCTTGCTCTTTGTCTGCAGAGAATGGAGGACTCGCTTGGGGCAGGGCTGTCTTTAAGTCTTGGAAGCTGAAGCAGGAGGATCTCAGATCAAGCCCAGCCTGACCAATTTAGTGAGACTCTCTCAAGAAATAGAGCCGAGCATGGTAGTGCACGCCTGTCATGCCAGCACTCGGGAGGCTGAGGCAGGAGGATTGCCCTGACTCCTAGGCCAACCTGGGCTACTTAGTGAGTTCAAGGTTGGTCTGAACTACATGGTGAGACCCTGACTCAAAAAAAGTAAGTAAATGAATAAAAGGAAGGGCTGAGACATAGCTATTGGAAAGACCCTGGTCCAGTCTCCAGTACCTAAACCCAAACCAGGCCTCCAGATGCATCCCCAGGAGGCCCCTTGCACACAGTGGGGTGCGGACGGCCACAGGTGCATCACCCACCTCCGCCTTGGTTACCTGTGTCACAGCAACCTCCCAGAGAAGTGCAGACCACCTTCTGCTTTGCCCTGAGCCGGCTGAGGGCAGGCTCCGAAGCCCCTGAGCCTCAGTTTCCTCAGTGACTCCGTGGGATACTAGCGTCTGCCCTAAGACCCACAGGACTGAGTGTGACCTGAGATTGAGGGTATAAAAAAAAACACCAGCAGCGGGGTACAGCAGTGAACGCCTGTCGCCCCAGCACTCGGGGGCTGAGGTAGGAGGGGCCCTGCCAACTTCAGGGCTGGCCTGAACTACACAGTGAGACACTGTCTCAAAACTCCCAAATAATAAATAAGTGAAACGGAGAACAAAAATACACTCTAGAATGGCCACAGCCCCCAGGACAGGCCTGCCCCACCCCCCGCAAGCGCCCTGAAGGCCTCACCCAGCTTCTCCATGATGGGCAGCAGGTTCTGGGTGCCGGTCACCTTGACCCGCGGCATGATCAGGTACGTGGGCTGGTACTTGAACATCTCCAGCTTCTTCATGACTGCTTTAAAGAGTGTGGGGTTGAGCGTGCGCTCCAGCTCCTCCAGGGGCTGCCCCAGGCTCTGCGGCACCAGGATCACGAAGCTCAGGTTGTGGGAGAGCTGCAGCTGGCCCACCTGGGGACCGAAGGGCACTGGTCAGCTCCCCTTGGTGGCCGCTCGGTGCGGCCCAGAGAGGAACAGAAGGGACCTAGAAGAAGGCAGAACTCAACAAGGGGCAACACAACTGCCAGGGCTGGAGCCTCAGAGCGGCCCTGAGGAAGCACACAGGTGCTGGCCAAGGAGGAAGATGGCCCAGGATCCCCGTGGTGATGGTCTCAGCGCCCCCGGGGTGTGGCCTCTCCGCCCCCAAATTTACCACAGTGCTCTCCAGGGATCTCAGCAAATCTAACCCCCTCTGTTGGGTAAACATCCTAAAAATCCCAGGGAGAATTAAGAGACTAACTTCAGCATATTAAAAACAGGTGGTGAACTCGGAGCAATCCCAGCACTCTGCTGAGGCAGGAGGATCTGGATTATAAACTCAAGCCCAGCCTGGGCAATTCAGCATCTTAGCAAGAATGAAAACGGCAGTATTTGTCATTTTTTTTTATTTTTTATTTTTTATTTATTTATTTGTGTGTATGTGTGTGTGTGTGTGTGTGTGTGTGTGTGTGTGTGTCCAGCTCAGTCCACCAGGGGGCGGGGCTAGCTGGCATGTGGTGCTGGGAGATTGAACCGCGGTCCCTGTGCTTTGCTAAGCTTGTTCTAAGTAGGTGCTTTAGACCACTGAGCCATCTCTCCAGCCCAAGGAATAAGGTTTTTTTTTTTTTTTTTTTTCTTCCTCAAATGCCTTCAGGGCACTTGTGGCCAGCGGGAGAGTTGTGAGGTTCGAACTCCAGCAACCTGAGGCTGACAGCTTTGTGGAAGCAGCCACTTAAAGGCCTGAGCTAGAGCCAGGCCCCCCAGTATTTGTCATTTTTAAGAGATTCTGACGTGCTAGTTTTATGCTGTTAAGCAAAAGTTACAGGATGATTTTATTAAGTTTGGGAATGGTAGGCCGAGTGTGGTAGCATACACCTATCATCTCAGCACTCAGGAGGCCGAGGCAGGAGGATCTCTGTGAATTCCAGACCAATCTGAACCGCATAGCAAGACCCTATCTCAAAGAACCAAAAAAGGACGGTGGAAAATAGCCTGTTCAGGAAGTGTTTCCAGCTGCTCCTGGGAGTTGCTCCCTGCCAGCCCCTCTAGTTCATGTATTTATTTATTCACTAGGCAGACAGTGCAGGGCCCTGACTGTACCTGGCCCTGTTCTAGGCCCCGAGGACACAAAAGAAACCAGACAGCTCCCTGTTCTCAATGACTCAGGCCCCATCTCAGGACAGGAGACAGGGATGGCTTAGGAGTGACAGCAGCTCGGGAGTGACAGCGGCTCAGGAGTGACAGCAGCTAGTAAGGGCGTCAGGAGGCAATAAAGAGTATGTCCTAGTGGCTGTGGGAAGGGGAACGGCCTCTCCGTCTCTGGTCAAGGACCTGGAGCCGGGGAGGAAGCCCCATGCAGCCAAGAGGACCCAGGCAGGGACGGGATGCTCCCTGTAGCGCCCGGGGGCAAGGAGCCCGCGGCGCTTGTGACTGGGTATCCTCAGCCTCTGGGGCTCTCTGCAGCTGGCTCTCCCTACCTGCGTCTGCCCTCTGCGGGGCGCAAATTGGGGCGCCCACATCAGGTGCTTTACTCGCTGGAAACTCTGAGGTGTACGGTCTGTATTTCTCTCTTCCTAACCACTGAACTTATTATTTATTCATTTATTTGCAGCACTGGGGGTTGAGCCCAGGGTCTTGCCACTGAGCTATGCCCCCAGTCCTTTCCGGCATTTATTTTGAGCCAGGGCCTTACTAAGGTACCAATTTGCACCAATTGGGCTGGAACTTGCCACCCTCCTGTTTCAGCCTCCCAGGGCACTGGGATGGCAGAGGTGTGCCGCATCTGCCTCTAACTGTTGCCACGACATTGTTCAGCTTCTGTTAGGAATTCAGACCATTTAAGACACGTAAACACTGCCTACAAGTTGTGCATGGACACCCGGACACGTGTGTGCACACATACACAGGCCGTGTACCAGTACACACCTACACACATGCACACACAATCTGTTCAGCCACCAGCTCACCCTGAAGGTTGACGGCAGGAGACCCCCCCCCTCCCGCCACAGACCAGAAACCAGATTATTTTCACCACTGGAAGAACAGAAACAGCGGAGAAACTGAGTCAGGACTTGTGGCCTGAGACACCCAGAGTCTGGCTCAGCCAAGACTGGAGAAGGGAGGAGTCAGGCCAGGTGGAGGAAGAAAAGAGACGCGCCCATGAGGGAGGTGTAGGGCGCAGCAGCGGAGCACCCACTTGCCTTGGCTCTCAGGCTGGGGTCCAGGAAATGTGCCATCGGGTGCTTCTTGCTGTGCATCATGGGAACATGGATGACGGTGTTGCCCATGTAGAAGGTCTCCTTCTTCTTCTTTGGCTCGAAGGGCTGCTTCCACTTGGCTGCAGGGTGGAGAGGCCTCTGTGAGGCTGTGCTCAGGACTTGGGACTGGGAGGGGAGGGCCCGGGGCACCCTCCTCACCACTCAGGTGGACGGCGTTGAATAGCATCAGGCGGATGTCCGGTGGCAAGCTGTGCAGCAGCCCGCGGACCTTGTACCCGGTGTTCTTGGCCACCCAGCTGTTGATGAGCCCCACGTCCGCGGCAGAGTCATTGCCCAGCACCTGGGGGCTGCTGCCGTACAGGCGCTGCGAGGCGTTCACAAAGCTGTCCTTGATGAGCAGGTCTGGGCACAGGGGAGGCCGCGGTGAGGCTCAGCACCTCCCGGGCAGCCCCGTGCCCCGGGGAGGCCAGGACAGCATGGTGTGCGGGCACGCAGTTCCCCCACCACTGGTAGAAGACGTGAGTCCCAAAGAAGGCAAAGGCTGAGCCACAGGCGGGACGGCACAGCCTGGCCAGGTCCCTGTGGCCTGGGGAGGTTGCTCTGCACTATCCGCCACCAAGCCCCTGGCTCTGTACTCTTTTCTTCCCTGATTTCAGCAGGGCCCAGATTTTGGGGAGGTTCCCAACAAGATGCCTTGACTTCTTTGAAATTTATTTTATTTATTTATTTTTTATTTTATTTTTTTATTTATTTGAGAGAGAGAGAGAGAGAGAGAGAGAGAGAGAGAGAGAGAGAGAGAGTGTGTGGTGTGTGTGTGTGTGGCCAGCTCAGCCCACCAGGGGGCGGGGCTGGCATGTGGTGCTGGGGGATTGAACCGCAGTCCCTGATGCTTTGCCAAGCTAGTTCCAAGTAGGTGCTTTAGACCACTGAGCCATCACTCCAGCCCCCCCCTTTTTTTTTTTTTTGAAATTTATTTTTTTATTTTATTTAAGATGCCTTGACTTCTGATCTCCGGAGCCCATGTGCCCGGAAAAAAGTGTTTGAAACAAAACATTTTTCTGAATTAAATAGATCAGAAAGCTGGGCATGGTAGCACACACCTGTAATCCCAGCCCTGGGGAGGCTGAGGCAGGAGGACCTCTATAAATTCTCACCCAGCCTGGGCTACGCAGGGAGTTCAAGGCCTGCTAGAACTACATAGCAAGACCTGTCTCAAAACAACAAGAACGCAGGCCAGAGACACTTCTCCTGGCTTTGCTGATGCTTGATTTCAGCACAAGACCCGGGACCCCCGGGGAGGAGTGGCTCAGCAGCCAGAAGCCCTGTGACCCACCACCTGACTGGATGCGGGCAAGGCTGGTTTATGGCAGATAAGCAAAAGCAGCATTCATGACCCTGCACAGCCATAACTTTCTCCCATGAGAAAGATTTTCTCCTAGGCAGCTATTTTCTTTTTCCCTTTCATTTGTCTTTCTTCTCTGTATCTTCCTCAGTTCTCTACAGCAAACATTACTTACGTAATTGAAAGCAAAACATAAGTAACATTTGGTTTCACACCTTTTTTTGTGCGTGCCTACGAGTCGCACAGATGGACAAATCCCCCCCCCCCCGGCAGATTTGGCCCCCTCTCTGTTCCTGGAGTTAAGCACGGCCGGGCTAGCTCTGTGACCCTTCTCTGAGTGCACGTTTGCAGCGCACAACGCTTGCTTTCCTCTTAGGGTGCGTGCGGGATGCGTCTTGCCTCTTTCAAGACCCCTCTGTCTCTCTCGCTCCATCTCTCTTTGTTGCCTATTTCCTATCTTTTATTTTTCTTCTTTTAAAAAATGATGTAGACTTAGGGGTTCCCTATAGAGGTTCCTCAAAACCCTGGAAGTAGCAAGCCCATTTGGAGCAGCCGGTCCCTTTCTCGAGAGTCAGAGGCACCAGTCACAGCGACCTGCGCATGCTCGCGCTGTGGACAGCAGCGCCGCTCACGAGAGCGCGCCTGGAGTAGCGGGTCGGTCCACCGACAGAGGGCGGAGGAAGATCTCTGCCGCCAAGCGATTTACCACAGCCAGACTGCATGTGCAAAGTCACCCGTGAAGCGCAAGACCTTGGCGGGCTCTGCCGGGCCAGGCTGTCGCCTCCCTGTCCCAGGAAGTGGCATCCCTCCAGTGTCCCACCCACACTGGGGCTCCTGGGCTGTCTGCAGAACCCCTGGGCTTTGGGGAGCAAGTTGGGACTGGTGGCACTTGGTTGCCAAGGTACCACTCATTCCCTCACACTACACATGCGAATGACAAATTCATGTAACATGAAAGTAAAAAGAACAGGAATCTCAGGCAAGGCTCCATTGACCCACGGCCAAAACATGCCTTGCTATCTATCCCAGGGAGGCTGAGTCAGGGGGATTGTAACTTCAAGCTCAGCTTGGGCAGGAGCCAAACACCAGGGGCCGGGGAGATGGTTCAGTAGAAGAAGCGCTTGCCTGGTAAGTGAAAGGGTCTGAGTTCAATCCCTGGTTCCGCAAAAAAAAAAAAAAAAAAAGGAACCAAACGCCTGTCCTGGGTCTTCCTGCCAGGAGATCTCACGAGATCTCACCAGCTCCAGCAGCCCCCAAGGCAGGTGGCCCTCACCGCAGATGCCCTGGCACCAGCAGCCCCTTTTGTCCCTTCCCAAGCCTGTCCCCTCCTGGCGGCTGCCACTCACCTGGGCTGTGGAAGATCTGGGAGGCTGAGGTGACGCCCTTGTTCACGAGGGCCTGCAGGGCCTGGTGGACACAGGTGAAGTCCTTTGGGTAGGAGAGGACGCCCTCCAGGTTGCTCCTGGTGCTGTCCCCCGCTCCTGCGGAGAAGGGCAGAGGTTGCTGGGGACCAGAGGGAGGACGGTGCCATTCCCTGCAGCAGAGCGGAGTGCAGGGTGACAGAGCTGGGATGTACCATGTGGGTGACAACTTCGGTGAGTGTTTAAATTTTTAAAAAATGTATTATGGTAAAAGGCACATTGCCACAGATCCCAGAATCCTCCCCTTGCCCCCGTCATACTCCTCCCACCATCCTGGCCCGTTTCTGCAGTGGCTCTGGAGTTCTCTTTCATGAATGTCTTTAGCTGTGCTGTCCTGCTGCCTCAGTGTCCTGAATGGATTGAAAACGTTGGCCTTTTTTGACTTTGGGGAGAGCCGGAAGTCACAGGTGCCAGATCAGGCGGGAAGGGTGGATGACGACATGCATCTATGAGCCGCTTTTCTGCTGGGTGGCGCTTGGCAGCAGCTCTCACTGTGTTTTCAATCACAGCTTGCAAAGGCCCCAGGAAAGAGGACTCCAGAGCTGCTGCAGAAAGAGCCCAGGTCCGCGGGACGAGTGTCGGGAGCGAGGGCAGGACTCAGAGGGCACTCGTAGCAGTGTCTTTTACTATGGCGAATTTTTATTTAAACATCCATCCCAGTTCCATCATACCTGCAGTGCACGTTAGAAATGGAAGGGGCAGGCGTGACCCCAGGGTTGGGCTTTGCCAGGGCTTTAATTTCCTTGCCGATGTTGCTATTTTTCGTCTGTCTGTCTGTCTGTCTGTCTGTCTGTCTGTCTGTCTGTCTTTCTTTCTTATCTTTTGGAGACAGGGTCTCACTATGCAGCTGAGGCTGGCCTTGAGCTCACTATGTAGCCTCAGCTGGTCTTGAGCACACAGTGATCCCCATGCCTCGGTGTTCTGAGTGCTGGGGTTACAGGAGTGCACCACCAGGCCCCGCTGATGTTGCGGTTTAAATCTCATGCATCTGTCAAAGCCAAGCTTGGCCACTGCCTGTTTTACATGAGCTATTATTTAGTTGCTTTGGACTTGAAAAGGCTCATCCTACAGGCAAGAGACACCAGACCATTAATTATTAATAATATTATTATTAATGTGACAGGGTCTCATTATGTGACACAAGCTGGCCTGGAATTCATGTGAATCTTCCTGCCTCAGCCTCCTGAGCACTGGGATGGCAGGCTCACACCACCACTCTTGGCCCAGGAGAAAGTTCTGTGCTTGTACCATCTCTAGCGGCACCCTGGACCCCGGTCCATGGGGAGGGATTGCTCTATCCCCACTGCTCCCCGTACTGTACTTGTGCCATTTCTAGGGTAATGAGGCCCTCAGGAGGCCAGAGGGTCTAACATTCTTGTGACCTCTCACTGTGCCAGGCCAGGCTCCGCTTCTTCCCTCCTGAGGTGGGTTCCACCATCCCTGCTCAGGCTCTGTGAGGCTGGGGGGCAGACGCACGCTCGCCCAGCGAGGGCAGCTTTGCCAGTCCAGCACTGTCCCGGGACATTCAGCTCCCTCTTGCCTGGCTTCACCTTGAACCATGGATCAAATAGTAGTGCCAATTAGATCACCGTTCTGCTCACTTTTTGTACTGGGGCTTGAGCCAAGTGCCTTCGTACTGAGCTACACCCCAGTGCTTTTAAATTTTTCACTCTGAGTCAGCCTCTGGTGAAGTTGCCCCAGGCTGGGCCTGAAATTAGGATCCTCCTGCCTCAGCTTTTTGCTATTTTATGGTTTTTTCCTCATTAAAATGAATAATTAAAAAAATAAGAAACCCTGAAAACCAAGTAGGTATAAATCACTGCTAAACAAAAGACTGTTGAGGGAAGAAAGGGGTCCTCCCTGCCCCCACAGAGCCCTTTCTCCCCCTCCCCAGGCCTCACCCAGCAGGACCTGCGTAAGCAGGCTGGCGATGCTGAAGGGCGAGAAGGCCATGTTGGACTCGGAGCTCTTCGTGGCCGCAAAGGCGCGGTACAGCTTCAGGGCGAAGTCGGTCAGTGCATCCCCCAGGATGGCCTCCGCCACTTGCGTCTTGGCCTCAGAGCAGGGGGTGACAGGCGGGGGGCAGAGGGGCTCTGTGGGGGCCGGGGTGGGAGTTTCTGTGGGGGCTGGAGTGGGGGTCTTCGTGGAGGCCAGGGTGGGGGCCTGGGTTGGGGAGTCACTGGTGGCTGTCACGACTGTGGCCAGGTCTGAGGCGTTGCTGGCTGCTGGCCGGGTGGGCGAGTGCACGGAGGCTTGGGTGGGCGAGTGCACGGAGGCTTGGGTGGGCGAGTGCACGGAGGCTTGGGTGGGTGCCTTCTCCGTGATGTCATCGTCCCTGACCTGCTGCTGTTGAGCATCGGAACTGGAGAAGGCTCCTTCCTGGGGTGCAAGAGACTGGTCTCAGTTTCCTCCCAGTGGGAAGAACTGCAGCCCGCATTAGAGGGTCACTCCAGGACAGCCCAGTGGGGCTATCAGCTTCCTGAGGGGCAGAGCTGGGGGTTGAGGGTAGAGGGACTTCCACGCAGGAGGCCAAATCCTGGCTTGTTTCTGTGCAGAGCCAGTGTAGCCCAGGCTGCCTTGAATGCCCTGGGATCCTCATGCCTCAGCCTCCCAAGCGTGGAGATAACCAGCATGGGCCACCCACTGTGCCAGGCTGCTTCCACATACATGCCGGTGCCGGGACTCACTCACCGGGCCAGCACCAGACCTTTGAACTTGGGGCCTGTGTCACAGGACAGTGTATTTTTTAAAAACTATGCTCTGGCCCCACTAGGAGCATTCCCAAAAGAAGGGCAGAGAAAGGGTGGGAAAGATGGGGGCAGGGAGATAACACGTGATCTCCGGCTATCGGGCAGGTCTGGAGGCTCCGGATGGTTGTCCTAAAACGGGGAGGCCAGACACAAGACAGCCCCTTGGGGTGAATCCTCCAGCCCCCAACACCAGTAGCTCCCTGTTGACAAACCCTGTTTTACCTACCCCCCCCCAACTCCTCAGCTAAGGAAAGGAGTCGCAGATTTGTTAAGGGGTCCTGGCTGTTGAAGGTCGGGGAACCAGGGCCCCACAGCGATCCCTCCCTCGCAGCCAGAGCATCTGTCTACAACCCCTGGTTTTTAAAAGTGCAGATTCCAGACGTAGAAGTTAATTCAGTTTTCCCCCCTCCTTCCCAGCTCTCGGCCTGGGGTGGGGTGGGCCTGCTTCCCTACCTGGCTTTGGGGGCTTCCTGGTACCCTGTCCGGCACCAGCACCCCTTTTCCATAGGGTCCAGGCGGGCGCAGGTGGGCACAGCCGCACACAGCCCAGGACAGGGCCCAGCGGCTTATTTCCCTACCCTGCCTTCCCCCCCTCCACCCCTCTGGGACCTTTGGGCGGCTAGGTTGGCAGAGGCCTCTGTTGCTCTGCCTTTTGTGACTCAGGGCCAGAACCCCTACGATCCCACATCGGATCCCACCCCATTCCATCTGCCAGGGTTAACCCGAACCCCGTCCCTCGTCCCTTCTGCCCCTCACCGCGGCTGGCGACAGCAGCAGCAGCAGCAGCAACAGCGAGGGCGCGCGCGGGGTCGGCCTGCGCCACATCGCGACCCCGGGACTGAGGACCAAGCAGCAGCGGGTCTGGAGCTGCGGGGGCCGAGTCCCGGCCCGGCCCCGCCCCGCCCCGTGTTGATTTCCCAGAACCTCGCCCCTTCCCGGCAGTGGCCGCGCTCCGCTCCCGCCCGCCTCGACCCTGGGTCCCTCTCTGTCCATCTGTCCATCGGGGCCCCGGGAGGGGGATCCGGTCTGAGCCCGCGACGAGGGCGGGGTCGCAGGGAGGTGCAGAGGGTGTTCCGCAGCACGGGAGGGTTGGGAGGAGGGGAGGAGGGGGGAAAGAGCTGGAGGCCCTCTGGAGACCAGGGACAGCGGGCAGGCGCTGGGGACCCGGCCCCGCCCCCCACGCCTCTCCCGACCTGTGCCCGCCTGGCACACGCTTCTTGCGCCCTGGCGCGCGGCCACTGGCTGCCGGCACCACCCGGTTCCCCGAGCGCGTGGATCCCGACTGAGTTCCCGTAAGTCACGCTGAATGAGGGATCGGCCTGGCAGGCCAGGCCGGGAACCGAGCCCAGAGCCCTGGGGTGGTGTGGGGTGGGGTGCAGCTGTTTTCTCTGCGCAACCGGTGCTTCCCCGCAGCCCCAGGATAGGACAGCACAGGGTTTGCAGTTGCCCTCCTTGTCCATCTGCGGTAGCCCGTGGAGGTCTGCGTAACCAACCCCGCGCTAGCCAAAATCCAGCCTTGGGACCCTCCCTGGGAGTCAAAGCTAGACTTGGTCTCGGGTCCCCGAAGGCACCCCCCCTGGACGGTCTTCGATTTTATTCCTCAAGACTGTGAATCAGGGGCCGGCCTAATAGCTCAGCGGATTAAAGCGCCTGCAAGCAGGCTCAGGGGCTAGGGGTTCGATCCCCCGGGGTTGCTGGGCCTGCCCCGCCCTCAGGGCGTGCTGAAGTGGCAATTGAGACTGGGTGTGGTGGTGTGCGCCCATAATCCCAGCACTTGGGAGGCTGTAAACAGGCGGATCACTACGAGTCTGTTCTAGTAGTGAGACCCTGAACACCCTGTAGACCCTTCCCTAAAATACAACAAACACAAATCCTAAGTGCAAAAAAAAAAAAAAAAAAGAAAGAAAGAAAAGAAAAGAAACATCACAGGGACTGTAGGCTGTACTGAGAATGTGTTGTTATGCACCTGAAATTGAAATGTATCAGAATTTAGTACTTTATTTGCTAGGTCCCTCCTGAAGCCGAGGCAGTGGGCACCAATAGTTACACCAACTCCATCTCCAGGAGTGATAAAGAAAGATGAATAGAAGAGAAGTGGTCCGATCTACCTTGCGACATGGCCAGTGAGGGATGGAGCTCGGATGTGGAACAAGGCTGGACGGCTGCCTTGGCGTGGCTCCTGGACCCTTGGAAGTCTCTGGTACACACTAGCGCTCATTGTGGGTCCCTCAGCAGGGCTGGGCCAGGGTTCCAGGGAAGACAAAGCCCGGCAGGAAGTGTCCCAGCCTGGGTGACCCCCTCTTTCAGTGCTGTGGTCTCTGCCCTCTGGACAGGGTTGCGGTGGGAGCTCCCTTTCCCCACAGGAGCTAGGAGTGCCTCAGCTGGTGCTGGTGGAATCCCCCACAAGGGTGTGCACACATCCAGTCGGGACAGGTGAGGATCTGGCCTTGCCTGCGTGGGACCACCTTTCCTGTGGCAGGTGGTGAGAACGAGGTGGCAGGGACCTCCCCCTTGTTCAGCGGTGCCTGGCTTGTCTGCTGGAGGCTTCTTGGTGGCAGATGAGGTTCAGGTCCTCACTAAAGTTCCACCGGACTCCACATTTGATGTGGTTTTTCTCCTTGAAGGCACAAGCCACTGTGGCCTAATTCTCTTCTTTTTTGAGGTGCTGGGGGGAGGAACCCAGGACTTCACTGGTCCTACGTAATCGCTCTACCATGGAGCTTCATTCCGTGTGCTGTGGCCGAATCCTCTCCCACACACTCCGTACCCTTGAGGCTTTTTCTTCTAAGAGAAGTTATCTACAGCTTGGAAATAGGGCAGAGATGCCAGGGCTAGTTGGTTCCCAGAAGAGCACGTCGTTTGGTCTACGGTGGTGGAGAGAACTCCGGAGTCCCCAGAGAATGCCTTGGGCACTGGGCTGCTGAGCTCCCGGGACCTGAGAGACAGCGTTATGGAGACCAAGGGTCACCAAGTGTGGTAGGGTGCAAACTGGTGGTCAACTTGTTACACCCAGCTGAACTGAACCAGTGTGGTGCTGGGTGTGGGGGTCTACCTGGTGATTGTTGCCAGCAACATAAGAACTGGAGAAGCTCCTGGAGGCTGAGGGAGCCATTTGGAGAAGCCGTTGGAGCTACTGAAAGCCGTTGGTTCTCCTGGGCTGTTCTGCTGGAGGAACTTGTCATGCTGGCTTTCCTGGTAAACTTGACTGTTCTTGTTGGAGGAGGAGTTTGAGACCTCGTTGTCACTGAGGATGGCTGCGGTTCATTTTGGGGGAGCTCTGGGCCTCACCTTGAGCATCGCTTCCTGCTCCGGAGGGGCAGATAGCACACTGCTCTGTCTCCGGGAGAAGCTCGTTGCTTTGGCTTTCCTGATAGGAACTTGGCTTTCCTTATCGCCGGGAGCTCGGGACCTCGCTGTCGCTGAGGATGGCTTTTCGGGGCGCTCTGGTGCTTACTCTGGC